CACAGATTTTCATTCTTTAGGCCCTAGCTCTTCTAGTTTAGCCAGAAAATGCACTTTTATGTTTTCACTCAAAAATCGAGTTTTGATAGGAAATATAAGTGATCACAGATTTTCATTCTTTAGGCCCTAGCTCTTCTAGTTTAGCCAGAAAATGCATTTTTATATTTTCACTCAAAAATCGAGTTTTGGTAGGAAATATAAGTGATCACAGATTTTCATTCTTAAAGCTCTAGCTCTTCTAGTTTAGCCAGAAAATGCACTTTTATGTTTTCACTCAAAAATCGAGTTTTGGTAGGAAATATAAGTGATAACAGATTTTCATTCTTTAGGCCCTAGCTCTTCTAGTTTAGCCAGAAAATGCACTTTTATGTTTTCACTCAAAAATCGAGTTTTGGTAGGAAATATAAGTGATCACAGATTTTCATTCTTTAGGCCCTAGCTCTTCTAGTTTAGCCAGAAAATGCACTTTTATGTTTTCACTCAAAAATCGAGTTTTGGTAGGAAATATAAGTGATCACAGATTTTCATTCTTTAGGCCCTAGCTCTTCTAGTTTAGCCAGAAAATGCATTTTTATATTTTCACTCAAAAATCGAGTTTTGGTAGGAAATATAAGTGATCACAGATTTTCATTCTTAAAGCTCTAGCTCTTCTAGTTTAGCCAGAAAATGCACTTTTATGTTTTCACTCAAAAATCGAGTTTTGGTAGGAAATATAAGTGATCACAGATTTTCATTCTTTAGGCCCTAGCTCTTCTAGTTTAGCCAGAAAATGAATTTTTATGTTTTCACTCAAAAATCGAGTTTTGGTAGGAAATATAAGTGATCACAGATTTTCATTCTTTAGGCCCTAGCTTTTCTGTTTAGCCAGAAAATGCACTTTATGTTTCCACTTAAAAATCGAATTTTGGTAAAAAATATAAGTGATCACAGATTTTCATTGTTTAAATAGAAGTGATCACAGATTTTCATTCTTTAGGCCCTAGCTCTTCTAGTTTAGCCACAAAATGCACTTTTATGTTTTCACTCAAAAATCGAGTTTTGGTAGGAAATATAAGTGATTACAGATTTTCATTCTTTAGGCCCTAGCTCTTCTAGTTTAGCCAGAAAATGAATTTTTATGTTTTCACTCAAAAATCGAGTTTTGGTAGGAAATATAAGTGATCACAGATTTTCATTCTTAAAGCTCTAGCTCTTCTAGTTTAGCCAGAAAATGCACTTTTATGTTTTCACTCAAAAATCGAGTTTTGGTAGGAAATATAAGTGATCACAGATTTTCATTCTTTAGGCCCTAGCTCTTCTAGTTTAGCCAGAAAATGAATTTTTATGTTTTCACTCAAAAATCGAGTTTTGGTAGGAAATATAAGTGATCACAGATTTTCATTCTTTAGGCCCTAGCTTTTCTGTTTAGCCAGAAAATGCACTTTATGTTTCCACTTAAAAATCGAATTTTGGTAAAAAATATAAGTGATCACAGATTTTCATTGTTTAAATAGAAGTGATCACAGATTTTCATTCTTTAGGCCCTAGCTCTTCTAGTTTAGCCACAAAATGCACTTTTATGTTTTCACTCAAAAATCGAGTTTTGGTAGGAAATATAAGTGATCACAGATTTTCATTCTTTAGGCCCTAGCTCTTCTAGTTTAGCCAGAAAATTAATTTTTATGTTTTCACTCAAAAATCGAGTTTTGGTAGGAAATATAAGTGATCACAGATTTTCATTCTTTAGGCCCTAGCTTTTCTGTTTAGCCAGAAAATGCACTTTATGTTTCCACTTAAAAATCGAATTTTGGTAAAAAATATAAGTGATCACAGATTTTCATTGTTTAAATAGAAGTGATCACAGATTTTCATTCTTTAGGCCCTAGCTCTTCTAGTTTAGCCAGAAAATGCACTTTTATGTTTTCACTCAAAAATCGAGTTTTGTTAGGAAATATAAGTGATCACAGATTTTCATTCTTTAGGCCCTAGCTCTTCTAGTTTAGTCAGAATATGCACTTTTATGTTTTCACTCAAAAATCGAGTATTGTTAGGAAATATAAGTGATCACAGATTTTCATTCTTTAGGCCCTAGCTCTTCTAGTTTAGCCAGAAAATGCACTTTTATGTTTTCACTCAAAAATCGAGTTTTGGTAGGAAATATAAGTGATCACAGATTTTCATTCTTTAGGCCCTAGGTCTTCTAGTTTAGCCAGAAAATGCACTTTTATGTTTTCACTCAAAAATCGAGTTTTGGTAGGAAATATAAGTGATCACAGATTTTCATTCTTTAGGCCCTAGCTCTTCTAGTTTAGCCAGAAAATGCACTTTTATGTTTTCACTCAAAAATCGAGTTTTGTTAGAAAATATAAGTGATCACAGATTTTCATTGTCTTCTCTAGTTTAGTCAGAAAATGCACTTTTATATTTTCACTTAAAAATCGAGTTTTGGTAGGGAATATAAGTGATCACAGATTTTTATTGTTTAAGCCCTAGATTCTCTAGTTTAGTCAGAAAATGCACTTTTTCACTTAAAAATCGAGTTTTGTTAGAAAATATAAGTGATCACAGATTTTCATTGTCTAAGCCCTAGCTCTTCTAGTTTAGTCAGAAAATGCATTATTATGTTTTCACTCAAAAATCGAGTTTTGGTAGGAAATATAAGTGATCACAGATTTTCATTATTTAGGCCCTAGCTCTTCTAGTTTAGCCAGAAAATGCATTATTATGTTTTCACTCAAAAATCTAGTTTTGGTAGGAAATATAAGTGATCACAGATTTTTATTATTTAGACCCTAGCTCTTCTAGTTTAGCCAGAAAATGCACTTTTATGTTTTCACTCAAAAATCGAGTTTTGGTAGGAAATATAAGTGATCACAGATTTTCATTCTTTAGGCCCTAGCTCTTCTAGTTTAGTCAGAAAATGCATTATTATGTTTTCACTCAAAAATCGAGTTTTGGTAGGAAATATAAGTGATCACAGATTTTCATTCTTTAGGCCCTAGCTCTTCTAGTTTAGCCAGAAAATGCACTTTTATGTTTTCACTCAGAAATCGAGTTTTGGTAGGAAATACAAGTGATCACAGATTTTCATTCTTTAGGCCCTAGCTCTTCTAGTTTAGCCAGAAAATGCACTTTTATGTTTTCACTCAAAAGTCGAGTTTTGATAGGAAATATAAGTGATCACAGATTTTCATTCTTTAGGCCCTAGCTCTTCTAGTTTAGCCAGAAAATGCACTTTTATGTTTTCACTCAAAAATCGAGTTTTGGTAGGAAATATAAGTGATCACAGATTTTCACTCTTTAGGCCCTAGCTCTTCTAGTTTAGCCAGAAAATGCACTTTTATGTTTTCACTCAAAAAACGAGTTTTGTTAGAAATACAAGTGATCACAGGTTTTCATTCTTTAGGCCCTAGCTCTTCTAGTTTAGCCAGAAAATGCACTTTTATGTTTTCACTCAAAAATCGAGTTTTGTTAGAAATACAAGTGATCACAGGTTTTCATTCTTTAGGCCCTAGCTCTTCTAGTTTAGCCAGAAAATGCACTTTTATGTTTTCACTCAAAAATCGAGTTTTGGTAGGAAATATAAGTGATCACAGATTTTCACTCTTTAGGCCCTAGCTCTTCTAGTTTAGCCAGAAAATGCACTTTTATGTTTTCACTCAAAAATCGAGTTTTGGTAGGAAATATAAGTGATCACAGATTTTCACTCTTTAGGCCCTAGCTCTTCTAGTTTAGCCAGAAAATGCACTTTTATGTTTTCACTCAAAAAACGAGTTTTGTTAGAAATACAAGTGATCACAGGTTTTCATTCTTTAGGCCCTAGCTCTTCTAGTTTAGCCAGAAAATGCACTTTTATGTTTTCACTCAAAAATCGAGTTTTGTTAGAAATACAAGTGATCACAGGTTTTCATTCTTTAGGCCCTAGCTCTTCTAGTTTAGCCAGAAAATGCACTTTTATATTTTCACTCAAAAAACGAGTTTTGGTAGGAAATATAAGTGATCACAGATTTTCATTCTTTAGCCCCTAGCTCTTCTAGTTTAGCCAGAAAATGCACTTTTATGTTTTCACTCAAAAATCGAGTTTTGGTAGGAAATATAAGTGATCACAGATTTTCATTCTTTAGGCCCTAGCTCTTCTAGTTTAGCCAGAAAATGCACTTTTATGTTTTCACTCAAAAATCGAGTTTTGGTAAGAAATATAAGTGATCACAGATTTTCATTCTTTAGGCCCTAACTCTTCTAGTTTAGCCAGAAAATGCACTTTTATGTTTTCACTCAAAAATCGAGTTTTGGTAGGAAATATAAGTGATCACAGATTTTCATTCTTTAGGCCCTAGCTCTTCTAGTTTAACCAGAAAATGCACTTTTATGTTTTCACTCAAAAATCGAACTAGAAGTGATCACAGATTTTCATTCTTTAGGCCCTAGCTCTTCTAGTTTAGCCAGAAAATGCACTTTTATGTTTTCACTTAAAAATCGAATTTTGGTAGGAAATATAAGTGATCACAGATTTTCATTCTTTAGGCCCTAGCTCTTCTAGTTTAGCCAGGAAATGCACTTTTATGTTTTCACTCAAAAATCGAGTTTTGGTAGAAAATATAAGCGATCACAGATTTTTATTCTTTAGGCCCTAGCTCTTCTAGTTTAGCCAGAAAATGCACTTCTATGTTTTTCGAAAATAATAAAATTTGTATATTTTTTTAGCAAAATCTATCAACAACATTGTCAAAATACCTTTCTAATGCCCTATTAATACAATATTACTTGCCAAAGCTATTTTCAACGGAAAACTTTGTTTTTGCATTTAAACTAAATTTTAAATTAACAATAAATCTTTTTAACAAAACAAGTAAGCTTTTCAAATGAAAAACAAAACAAACCAATGTGCTTTTATTGAAAGTTTTATGCAGCAAAGTTTTCCGTTATATTTTATTAGGGCTTTGCTTTTCATAAGCATAAAGCTTTCAATAAAGTTTTGTTGCATTCGTGAGATTTAAATCTATTGTACTTCTATATTGCAGCGCTATTTATCAAACGAATATTTTGTCAGGCAAAAATGGCAAACATTTACTCTTCTCCCCTGTTTTACCGCCCAGTAATGTGGACTATAATGAAAATTTCTATTATTATGCCAGTCAACGCAAACGAAAACGTCAAGTGGATATAAATGTCAAGAAATATGAAGCTTGATGAGTTATTAGAGAAGTCATGAATGTTTTTGTTTTGTAAATTGTAATGTTTGTTGTGATATGTTTTTTTTTATTGGTGGGAAATTGCAATTGAAAACAATATTTAATAAATTTCTTCAAGAATTTTGTTTAAATATTTAATTTTTTATTTTATAAGAAACAACTTAACGTTGTACAGTATTTATTGTGTCGCTTGTTTTTTTGCCACTAACTGTATGTTATTTATGTTCTCATTTAAATGTGTGTTTTTTCTTTATTTATGAAAAGGGCTTAATTAATCTGTCTTTATTTTGTGTAGACTACATTGATTTTAAATTACTCAGACAAAACTAGAGCAGGGCCACATTGGAAATTTAGCAGGAACAACAATTAAAAGAAATAAAAACGTAAACTTTCAAAACGTTATTAGATTAGAATACTAAGCATACACACAAACATATATAGATTAGTCTAGTCTATAGTCTAGTCTATAGTCTAGTCTATAGTCTAGTCTATAGTCTAGTCTATAGTCTAGTCTATAGTCTAGTCTAGTCTAGTCTATAGTCTAGTCTATAGTCTAGTCTATAGTCTAGTCTATAGTCTAGTCTATAGTCTAGTCTATAGTCTAGTCTATAGTCTAGTCTATAGTCTAGTCTATAGTCTAGTCTATAGTCTATAGTCTAGTCTATAGTCGTCTATAGTCTAGTCTATAGTCTAGTCTATAGTCTAGTCTATAGTCTAGTCTATAGTCTAGTCTATAGTCTAGTCTATAGTAGTCTATAGTCTAGTCTATAGTCTAGTCTATAGTCTAGTCTATAGTCTAGTCTATAGTCTAGTCTATAGTCTAGTCTATAGTCTAGTCTATAGTCTAGTCTATAGTCTAGTCTATAGTCTAGTCTATAGTCTAGTATAGTCTAGTCTATAGTCTAGTCTATAGTCTAGTCTATAGTCTAGTCTATAGTCTAGTCTATAGTCTAGTATAGTCTAGTCTATAGTCTAGTCTATAGTCTAGTCTATAGTCTAGTCTATAGTCTAGTCTATAGTCTAGTCTATAGTCTAGTCTATAGTCTAGTCTATAGTCTAGTCTATAGTCTAGTCTATAGTCTAGTCTATAGTCTAGTCATAGTCTAGTCTATAGTCTAGTCTATAGTCTAGTCTATAGTCTCTATAGTCTAGTCTATAGTCTAGTCTATAGCCTAGTCTATAGTCTAGTCTATAGTCTAGTCTATAGTCTCTCTATAGCTAGTCTATAGTCTAGTCTATAGTCTAGTCTATAGTCTAGTCTATAGTCTAGTTATGTATAGTCTATAGTCTAGTCTATAGTCTAGTCTATAGTCTAGTCTATAGTCTAGTCTATAGTCTAGTCTATAGTCTAGTCTATAGTCTAGTCTATAGTCTAGTCTATAGTCTAGTCTATAGTCTAGTCTATAGTCTAGTCTATAGTCTAGTCTATAGTCTAGTCTATAGTCTAGTCTAGTCTAGTCTATAGTCTAGTCTATAGTCTAGTCTATAGTCTAGTCTATAGTCTAGTCTATAGTCTAGTCTATAGTCTAGTCTATAGTCTAGTCTAGTCTAGTCTATAGTCTAGTCTATAGTCTAGTCTATAGTCTAGTCTATAGTCTAGTCTATAGTCTAGTCTATAGTCTAGTCTATAGTCTAGTCTATAGTCTAGTCTATAGTCTAGTCTATAGTCTAGTCTATAGTCTAGTCTATAGTCTAGTCTATAGTCTAGTCTATAGTCTAGTCTATAGTCTAGTCTATAGTCTAGTCTATAGTCTAGTCTATAGTCTAGTCTATAGTCTAGTCTATAGTCTAGTCTATAGTCTAGTCTATAGTCTAGTCTATAGTCTAGTCTATAGTCTAGTCTATAGTCTAGTTAGTCGTCTATAGTCTAGTCTATAGTCTAGTCTATAGTCTAGTCTATAGTCTAGTCTATAGTATAGTCTATAGTCTAGTCTATAGTCTAGTCTATAGTCTCTATAGTCTAGTCTATAGTCTAGTCTATAGTCTAGTCTATAGTCTAGTCTATAGTCTAGTCTATAGTCTAGTCTATAGTCTAGTCTATAGTATAGTCTAGTCTATAGTCTAGTCTATAGTCTAGTCTATAGTCTAGTCTATAGTCTAGTCTATAGTCTAGTCTATAGTCTAGTCTATAGTCTAGTCTATAGTCTAGTCTATAGTCTAGTCTATAGTCTAGTCTAAAGTATATTCTATAGTCTGGTTTATTTTCTAGTTATAGTCTTGTCTATTGTCTAGTTTATAGTCTGTTCTATTGTCTAGTTAATAGTCTAGTCTATAGTATAGTCTAAAATCCATTCTACGGTCCAGTTATAGGCTAATCTATAGTTTGGTTTGTAGTCTAGTCTAATCCTTATTAGGGTGTGAAGAGCTTCTTTGATTATAAAAGTTGCTTTTGCCTCTCTCTAATGTTGTTTACATTAAGCTCCCTTAATTGTTATTGTTCCTTTTTGCTTTATTCTTTGCTCTCTCACCTTTAGACTTTCTCAATTCAAATTGAGCCTCTTAGTTAATTGATGAACTTGAATTTTTGACACTTTGCTTTAAATTTAATTCTTAAGCAATTAGTCTATTGCAGCATTCCTTTTAGGACGGTTCGGTGATCGGAAAATAACGCGAGTGATGATTACTCTAGTAAAAAAGTGTAATAAAAAAGTGAAATCATAATTAAAAGTGTCAGTTTTTAAATAATTAAAATTATAAAACTGTCTAAAATAAAATGAAATTTATTAAAATTATTATATTTCTTTAATTGGTGAAAATGCAAAAAGTCTAATATATTAAAGTGCATTAAATAGTGTTTTAAAAATAAAATTTCTTAATATTAATAAAAAAGTTTTTACTAAAATTAATCCTTTTTTTAAAGAAAATAAATTCTTTATGAAATATGTAAATGCGTAATTAAAATGCAGCAGCAGCTCTGCATTTTCTCTGCTTTTCTTTATTAGTTTTGTGTTAAAAAATTCATTTCTTTGCGTTGCGTTTCGTTCGTTGTTAGTGTTTTTGCTGTAAAAAATAAATCGATCATTAAGCCTGTCCGAACAGGATCAATTGTAAAAGCAACAAACAGCAGCAGAATTCTTAAGGTATGTAAATTAATTTTTTTTATTACTTTTGTTCAAAGAGTGAAGCAATTAAGAGATAATTGCAAAAAATGAAATATTAAGAGAAACCAGGCATGGGAATGAGACTAATGTATTGTTTAGTGTGTAACGTAGACTAGACTATAGACTAGACTATAGACTAGTCTATAGACTAGACTATAGACTAGACTATAGACTAGGCTATAGACTAGATTATAGACTAGACCATAGACTAGACTATAGACTAGACTATAACTAGACCATAGACTAGACTATAGACTAGACTATAGACTAGACTATAGACTAGACTATAGACTAGACTATAGACTAGACTATGACTAGACTAGTAGACTATAGACTAGACTATAGACTAGACTATAGACTAGATATGACTAGACTATAGACTAGACTATAGACTAGACTATAGACTAGACTATAGACTAGACTATAGACTAGACTATAGACTAGACTATAGACTAGACTATAGACTAGACTATAGACTAGACTATAGACTAGACTATAGACTAGACTATAGACTAGACTATAGACTAGACTATAGACTAGACTATAGACTAGACTATAGACTAGACTATAGACTAGACTATAGACTAGACTATAGACTAGACTATAGACTAGACTATAGACTAGACTATAGACTAGACTATAGACTAGACTATAGACTAGACTATAGACTAGACTATAGACTAGACTATAGACTAGACTATAGACTAGACTATAGACTAGACTATAGACTAGACTATAGACTAGACTATAGACTAGACTATAGACTAGACTATAGACTAGACTATAGACTAGACTATAGACTAGACTATAGACTAGACTATAGACTAGACTATAGACTAGACTATGACTAGACTATAGACTAGACTATAGACTAGACTATAGACTAGACTATAGACTAGACTATAGACTAGACTATAGACTAGATTAGACTATAGACTAGACTATAGACTAGACTATAGACTAGACTATAGACTAGACTATAGACTAGACTATAGACTAGACTATAGACTAGACTATAGACGATAGACTATAGACTAGACTATAGACTAGACTATAGACTAGACTAGACTATAGACTAGACTATAGACTAGACTATAGACTAGACTATAGACTAGACTATAGACGAGACTAGACTATAGACTAGACTATAGACTAGACTATAGACTAGACTATAGACTAGACTATAGACTAGACTATAGACTAGACTATAGACTAGACTATAGACTAGACTATAGACTAGACTATAGACTAGACTATAGACTAGACTAGAGACTAGACTATAGACTAGACTATAGACTAGACTATAGACTAGACTAGACTAGATAGACTATAGACTAGACTATAGACTAGACTATAGACTAGACTATAATAGACTAGACTAGATAAGACTAGACTATAGACTAGACTATAGACTAGACTATAGACTAGACTATAGACTAGACTATAGACTAGACTAGACTATAGACTAGACTATAGACTAGACTATAGACTAGACTATAGACTAGACTATAGACTAGACTAGACTAGACTATAGACTAGACTAGACTATAGACTAGACTATAGACTAGACTATAGACTAGACTATAGACTAGACTATAGACTAGACTATAGACTAGACTATAGACTGATAGACTAGACTATAGACTAGACTATGACTAGACTATAGACTAGACTATAGACTAGACTATAGACTAGACTATAGACTAGACTATAGACTGACTATAGACTAGACTAGACTATAGACTAGACTATAGACTAGACTATAGACTAGACTATAGACTAGACTATAGACTAGACTATAGACTAGACTATAGACTAGACTATAGACTAGACTATAGACTAGACTATAGATAGACTAGACTATAGACTAGACTATAGACTAGACTATAGACTAGACTATAGACTAGATATAGACTAGACATAGACTAGACTATAGACTAGACTATAGACTAGACTATAGACTAGACTATAGACTAGACTATAGAGACTATAGACTAGACTATAGACTAGACTATAGACTAGACTATAG